TTTGGCTCAGGTCATGATCCCAGGGTCCTGGGATCGAGCCCCGCATCGGGCTCTCTGCTCAGCGGGGAGCCTGCTTCCTCCTCTCTCTCTGCCTGCCTCTCTGCCTACTTGTGATCTCTGTCTGTCAAATAAATAAAATCTTAAAAAAAAAAAAAAAGTGTGCAGCCTCGTAGTTTTTAAGGTATGCACAGAATTATGAAACCCTCTATTTAATTTTAGAACATGTTCATCACCCTCCAAAGAAACCCCATATCTATTTGTAGTCATTACCCACTGCCTTCATTTCCCCTCCGCTTCTCTGGCCCTAGGAAACTACTAATCTAGTTTCTGTCTCTACAGACTTGCCTATTCTGGACATTTCATGTAACAGAATCATACAACATGGGGCCTTTTGTGTCTGGCTTCTTTCACTTGGCTTAATGACTTCAAGGTTCATCATGCTATAATTTTACCTTTTTGTTTTGCTTAACCCCTTTTCTCTAACTGCCTTATTTTAATATCTGTCTTTGAGCAAAAATTAAACTCTGGATATCCTGGAAGCCCAAGGCAAAAAAGAAAAACACAAATGTGTCACTCCACGCTAGTTAGCTATAAAGGAATCACACAGTTTCTCACGAGCAGAGAGTTTTTGTAACCCTACATTTTGAGGGAAACCCTCAGCGCAATCCAGTTTCACCAAAGTTTGGCTTTGTCTTTTGATCATTTAAGGTGTTTTCCTTATTTTCTTATTAATACTATCTCCAGTTCCTGTTGGGTTGGGCACTGTGAGCAGTGAGAAGGGAGAGAGAACAACCTTGTGGTATCCTCAATGACTCTTCTCTTTCTGGGGACAGGGGGAATTTGTACTTAATTTTTAATAACATTCTAATTTGACCTCCACTTTCAGTTTTCAGGCTCTTTCTTCCATTCTTGATCACAATCCTTACTTCCATCTCAAATTTGTGAAATATTTTCACCACTTTCTCCTGAAAGGGTTGAGCACTTTGCCAACCCTGATTCTAAAATAGGTCTCCGATAATGCAAATACTCAAGTAGATGCAGGGAGAGGACAAGCAATTATACCTAGGGAGAGATGAAAAGACGAGCATGATTGTTTGCTGATGTCTGCCTCCAGGTTTGGGAAAAGGAAAGTTCTGGCATTTATGCTACATCTCAAATTATTATTTTTTTCTTTTTGGGGGTCTGAAGTGCAGAGAATTAAATTAAAATCACACTTCTCAACTACAGCACAGTCTCAGCAGTTCATGCAAATCCTTTTGTTTTAATTTTTGTTTTTGTTTTAATTTTCACCTTGATCTCTAATCTCTGCTCACATTTGCCTTCCTCTTAAGCATGCTTTCCTTCGGTGTTTGGTACATGTCCTTTAGAGACATGTATCTTTAGAAACTATTTAGTGTTAGTGGAGGTGAATGAGTAATTACCTAAATAATATTGTGACATAAATCTCATTCTGTTGCTATTTTTTTTAACTCACCACTAAATCTTTAAAGCTAATTCATGTTGCTGCATTTACATTGATTCTATTGCTCCCAACTGCTGCATAATGTTTTATGGTATGTATCCACCACCTTTCACGTTTCCATTCCTCCAGCAACGCAAACCTGTATCAAACAATGACATAGTGAACATCCTCATGCTTGTCTCCTTAGAAAGCTGAGGAAGAATTCTTTTGGTTTGTATGCCTGAGAGAAAAATTGTTGGGCCATAGGATCTAAATAACACTGTTGTCTTTATCCAGCTCCCCTTGTGCATAACTGACATCCTCTCAGTTTTCTACGTCCTGTACTAACTATTGCTGCAGGGACCAGAGCTTGGCAGGTGCACAGGCTGTCACCAACTTGGCACCCATAGGATGCGGTACAACCTCACTTCTTATTTCCTGCTCTGGGACTTCACGAAGGCAGAGATGCAGATCTCGGGGAACCTGCGCAACACTCATGCCTACATAGTTTAGTGGGGTAATGGAGAGGAGCAGAGGTTAACAGTCCCAAAACTAGTCTTGACCTTTTGGATTGTAAGAGCCAACGGATAAGTATGCTTCTGTTTGAATTCCCCTGGGAGAAAGTTCCAAGACATAGTTCATAAGACTCTTACCAAGTTCCTTATGGGGTTGAGTACAAGTTGCCAACAGTGGTTGCCAACTTGAAAACACATCCTGGTACTGGTTTTACCTTTTCTCTTATTTAGTCCTCCAGTTCCTCATTCCTGCTCCTTGTTATTATTTCCCAAATTGACTATCTATAGATAAGCTTTTGTCTCAGGCTCTGCTTCCAGGGGCTTCCCAGAGTACAACATTATCCCTAAGTACTGCCAGACTACTGTCTGGGGCATCTGGGCCTTAATCTGGATAGTCTGGCCAGCCTCCAACCTGGGGACCAGAGACTGGGCCATTTCAAAACTTCGGAGGCTCACCTCTTAACAAGAGGCTTTGCCTCTGCTTGGAAAGCTGCCGAGGTGGAATCTCTCACCTGTGGATCAGTGATCTTTTTAAATACTTACTGCAGTTACTTTCAAAATGTGGTTGTAATATACATACACTCCCTGGTGATTATAAAATATTTTTCCCAAACACTGACTTCTGCCCTCATGATTTATGATATCTGAGGTATGGACAGTAGACTCATCCTGGGATCTGCCATAACAGAGTATTAAGAAAATTTCCTTCTCGATACTTATCAATATGGAAACATCACATGATTTATACTCTCCAGTGAAGGGTGTCAGCTTACGTCCTGGAACATGCAGTTGTTTTAACAGTCATATTTTCACTTGGGTTTACTTAGGGAAAAATGATCATTTCTTTGAGCGGACATATGTCAGTGTTAATGCTTGTGTGTGTGTTGGGTGTGTGTGTTGGGTGTGTGTGCGCACATGCGCATGCCAGCTCACCGTATGGGGTGAATCATCATGGAAAAAACACAGATCATGACCACCTGGGAGCGGGCTATCAGCAGAACTCCCTCAAGGGAATGTGTCTTCCTTCTCACTTGCAAACAACTTTTAAAAATCTCCTATCCCCTTCTGCTTTTATTGTGTGAACAGGTGGTTAATACATACACCCCAGGAAAGAAGATTTGGCTTGAAGGTGTGGTGACCACCTCGGCTGGAGGCACAAACAACCTATCAGATTCCTATGCTGCAGGATTCTTGTGAGTAACATGTGCAGTTTCACTCCCAGGGACTTTGAGGAGAGAAAGGCGGTGTGAAGTGATACTGCTCACTGTTCTGTCCGCTGGAGGGGGGAGGTTCGTTTCCCACTGAAAGTTCTTTATCTGCTCCTTTCTGAATGGGTGTAACCCATTCCACAAACACTGATGAGTCACTTCTCTAGACACCAAGATGTCAGGTACAGGCATCAGAGCAAAGATAGTAGTAATAGTAGTAGGAGTGACCATATAGGCATAAGACATTTATTTAATGTCTATAGTTCAAAGACAATGCAGACAACATACAATTTCTCCTCTAATTTTCACCATATTCTTAGGAAATAGGTAAGAGTAAGATTGGAGGAACAGAGACAGGAGATAAGAAAAGGTGTAGGAGATCAGTGCTGTATTAATAATAATTTTAACTCTATGTGTCACATGCTTTCTGAAGTGCTCTCTCTAATAACTGACAACCAGTGAGACAGGTAGTACTATTTTACAACCACCCAATAGATAGATATGAGAGCTTGGGCTTAAGCCCACAGAGTCTGCTTCAGAGTCTAGCCTCTTTGCCACTACCTTAGACCATCTTTCTTTCTGCCTCACATGGTATGTCCACAAAAAGAAGTGGTAGACAGGCAAAGGAATCAGGAATTTCTCTTGACAGGGAAGATCAGGAAGGATTTCATGGAGGAAGTAGCATTTGAGGGGGACATAGAAAGATTATTCTAATTTCTATGTGTGGAGAATGGTGATGATGGTGGACGGGAGAATTCGAGGCAGAAGGAACATTATGGGCTGTGGCATAGGAGGTGGAAAATGAGTCATGTGATGAAAGCCTTAGGAGCTACAGGAATGTAGTGAGGACTGCAATGAGAGGTGGGGGGGTTCTCCACCAATTGTGGAAGGCTGTTGAATGCCAGGCAGAGGAAGTAAGGCCTTGTTCTACACTCAGTGGCAAGCCACTGAAGAATTTGGAGGAAGAGAGAGACAGCATCTGACCTGTGTTCCTGCGTTGGTTTTGGGAATAATATGCACAAGGGTTTGGAGAGGCAGACTCTAGGACAATGGACTTGAAGTCTTCTGCAATTATCTGGACAACAACTTAACACTGGAAGCATAAGGGACTCTGACTGGCCTGCCAGCATCATGTGGCAGGGAAAGACCCTTCAGGACCATGGATTCACCAAGTGACCTGCCCTGTGCCACTCTAGTCCCATGGCCCTGGTTTTTTGTCTGTGGCAAGGTCCGCCTAAGAGCTGAGCTCTGTCCTCAGCTTTGTGTTTCTTTTCTAACAGCTGTTCCTAACTAAACACATGTACTTTCCCTCCATTAAGGCAGTTTCTTAAATACATTTGTAAAAAACAAATCAGGGCAGTCAGGCAGATTGTCTTTGCAGATGGAATCCTGATACATGCAGATGAAGATAATGGGTTAAAAGAATATATGATGATACTCTGGGTTTTCCATGCCTGTGTTCTCAGTACCTAGCACTGAGGGGCACCAAGCAGTTGTGCAGTGAGCATGGTTCCGGTGAATGAAATGGATGAATCAGCATTTGATACACTGGTTCTGAGAGTCTTCTTTCAAAAATACACTCCCTGCCAGGTTTCACTGTGAGCCATGGAGCTTGGCGAGAAGCCAGTGGCTGTTAGGACTATAGGGACCTCTTAGAACCAGCAGAGGAATGGCTTTTGCTCAGCCGTCATAGACAGAACCTGCTGCTGGGCCAGCAAGCAGCCCAGCTGTCCTCAGTGTTTTCATGAACATTCTTCCCTTCAGGGAATGATGTGAAATGGGAAATAATACAGCTCTTCATGGAGGGAGCTGGAGAGAGACCTGCCTTTTCATGAGCACCAGCCAAATCTCCATAGTTCTCTGAGGTCACTTTGCAAACCCAGATTAACATAGTTCAGGATTAGGTTGTAGTTCAGGTATCCAATGTGTGGTGGACACAGATCAGCTAAAAACGAGCTCACTTGGCTCCTGGTCTTCTGTCTTATCTCTTTATCACCCATTTGCTCTCCCCTCTGCTGGCAGCACCCAGCAAAGTGTCCTTTGAGTCTAGTTCTCCCAGGAGCATAAATAGCTTCCTGGGTGGTGGGGTTGGGGGAATAAAGCATTCTAAGAAGCTCCCAAAAGGCTAGCAATAGTCCTTGGGAAGAAGGCATCTTTCAGGTATTTTTCAGTATATGGCATAGTGATGAGCTTACAAGGACACTTGCACATTTATGCAAGGATCAGAACTTTTTGATTCTAGCCAGGGCTTTGAGACTTTCTGATGTACTACAGACATAACCTTGGCATACTGCTGTGTCTCCAGCACCCGGTAGTATCTGCCACCCAGTCAGTAGTCAATCCGTTTTTGTGGAATGGAAACTGCTGGCTACAGTAGCATCCTTGGTGGGATGTACAAGGCATCTTGCCACTTTTCACTACTTTTCACTGAAAGAGAGACTTGGAACACCATTTATCTCCCCTCTCCGAGGGCTTATTATTCACAAGAGAAAGAGGATGATAATTTCCTCTAACCATTCCATTCTGAAAAGCACAGGGAAGCAGGGGTTCTGGTCATAGTCATTTTGAATGCTTCAGACCCTGGATGTGTATATAGGACGCAGGTTTGGAAGGGAGGTTGCATAGTCTTCCCTCTCACATTAGAGTTCCTTCAAAACCTCACTGTACTAGCAAAAACACCAGCCCCCAGATTTACCAGGTAGCATTTGTTTGTTGAATATATTCTTTGCAGATCACTGTTACAAGGTCTATCAAGGTCACAAGTAGGAATTTGATACCATTCCTATAAATGAGTGCAGATATTTACATACCCAGTGCTTTATAAATGACTCACATAGTCACACAAACATTTTTGTGTCTATCCTCGATGCTGAGAACAAGGCCTGGCATTTACAGCTGATTAATTCATGTTGAATGAGTAATGAGTGACTGAGCAAATGGGATATTTTAAATACCAAAATACAGTCCTGTATGGATATCCAGCTGCTGCTTGATGTGATTATATATTTACTCATCATTTTGTTTCTTTGTTCAGCAAGCATAGGGATAGAAGGGTGAATGAGACATACTTGTTTCTATGAGTTGGTACTTGTTAGATACAGACCCTGTCGTATTGGTGCTCCATTGCTGGAGAGAGACTGATTTAGTGCATTAACCCAGAATTTACGTTGTAGTTCTACCCCAGGATATTTAATACTGTGTCTCAGTATTAGCATATATTAATTAGTTAGTTATATAATTAATTAGTTATATATTTAGTATAACTAAATCTGTTACCCTGATATCACAGGGTTAGTAAATTAATAAAAATAATAAAGACAAGTAGCTTAGGTACATGATTCTAAAAGTAATTTTATGTCCTAGTCGGAACAACAACAATGACAAAAGTTCTGTTGTATTATTGTCAGATTTTCTTTTTGATTTAAAACTTCTGTTTTTGCATTTTGCTTTATTTTATTTTGTTTTTATAATTCTAATTATCAGTAAATGTTAGTTTTTATGAGAAAAAAATAAAATTGTCAATGGGAAAAAGATTTTAAAATGTTAATGTCCACTCACAATATAAAAATTAGCAATGTTCTTTATTCGAATAAAGAAAAAGTTTAACTCTACAAGTCACTGATTTGGAGTTCCATATGGTTTCAAATTTGGGATATCATAGTTATGCATAATTTGTCCCTAGTGTGCTAAATGGTGATTCTCAGTGTTCCTTGAATCTAATTTTATCCACATCAATTTCAACTTAACAAAGAGTATGAAGCACCTACAGTGTGCTAGGAACTGAGATAGATATTTTGGGTACAAAGCTAAAACGTGTCTGTTCTCAGTGAGCACCTAAGCAACTGGGGGACAACAGAGATGTAAGGAAGTAATTATCGTGGGCTGACAGAAGGTATAAATAAGAGTTCTGTAAGGTACAGAGGAGGAAGGTACTACTGTTTGCCGGGACAGCAGAGTTTGGAAGGAAATGACACTTGACTTGGAGATGAATAGATAGGAAGAAATTTGCCAGATGAGGTGAACCGGTTAGAGGAGGAAAGAGAATTCTAAGCAGAAGTTAAAATATGTGAGAAGATTCAGGTCAGTATGTGAAAGTATGGTGAGTTTGGGCAGCCTAGAGTAGTTATATGTGGCTTAGAACCAGGGAATGGAGTTTAGGGTAAGAGAAGAGGGAGAAAGAGATACAAATGAAGTCTCACATGTGTGCTCAGGAAAGATTGTGAAACACCTTATCTTTTATACCATAAGACTGAAGCTCTCAGTCACATTTATTATATATATATTATTAAAATTAGAAATTTCCCCAAGTTTCAGAAGTAGGAATACAAAGAGAAAATTAAGGGATGAATAAATGAGTGAACGAATTGAATGCATAAATAATAAAGGCAGAGTTAGTGGTAGGTGTTAGAAGAACCAAGAGGGCAATATTTTTGAAGGATAGCACACTTCAGACAGTGGTTTTTGGCATAGTGGGATATGTGATAACATGTGAGCAATGCAGGTCCTCCATTATGTGTGTGATGGTAGTATAGTTGAAGCTCTGCATGGTTAATTACTGTAGCAAGGAAAATTATTATTGCATTGACTGCTGACAGAGATATATGAGAGATGCTAATGGCTGGGCCCTTCTTGCCTGGGTTACAGGAGTATGTGAGGTAGAGTCACATGAAAGGTACTTGTACAGTGATAAGGTGCAGGCAGGGGAGTTTGAGTACTGGAGAGTAGAGAGTGTATGTTCCTGTGATTGTGTGTCCTACGGCCAGCGGGTGAGGGATGATAATTAGGCTTACAAGTGGCTACAAGGGTATTCATTTTCTTTGTTAGTATTACATGAGTAAAATAAGTCATTAGCCACAAGATATTTTATGACCAAGGGCAATTCATTTTATTCCCCTGAACCTCTGTTTCTTTTCCTATAAAATGAAGAGGTTAGATTTGATAATCCCTAAAATGTCTTCCAGCTGTGTACTCAGTGCTTACAATAATCTTCTCCTTTAAAGTACTAGGTAAATTTCATGTTGGGGGTTGGTGTATGTGTGTATGTGTGTTAGCCAATCTCTACAGAGCTTGTTATATGCAATTTTTAAGATGTATTGATGTAGCTTTTTTTTTCATGCTTTTTTAGATGGTTGAACACTTTAGGAATGCTGGCCAATCAGGGCATTGATGTTGTGATACGACACTCATTTTTTGACCATGGATATAATCACCTGGTGGACCAGAATTTCAACCCATTACCAGTAAGTGTGAGATAAAGTTCCTCAACTCCTCTTCCATGTCTTTCAGGTATTTTGACCATACCTTGTTCCATACTGGGAGAATTTTTCTCCTCTCTCTGTTACCAGGTAATTTCATAAATTGGACAGAAATATTCATGTCTTTGTTCTCTTGACCCATTTCACAGACTTATGGCTTTACTACACTCACTCACACACACATATCTATATATACACAATCATATATACAAATGCATGTTTGCATATACATATATACATGTATGTATTTATTTATTACTATTATTTTAACAAACCTTGTACAGTTGAGATTCCACATCTACTTGTGGCCTGTTTGAACTCTGCTTGAGAGTGAATTTTTCCAGATTGTTTTCTTTTAATGCTAATAGGAGACATTAGTTAACGTCAGACGCAACATGTTGAAAGCAGATGGGAGTGTCTTGGCTGAGATCAGATGCAGTAGGAACCCATCTCTTAGGGAGTGGCTGAAGTGCACTTGCAGTTATGTGTTGATCCCTATGTGACAATGAGGGGATTTGCCCAGGACACCAACTTCCCTAGGAAAGAGAAGGAAAGGGAAGGCTGAAGAAGACTGGCAAGGGCAGAGATCTTGATTTGTTGGGTGACTGTACTGGCCAATCAGAGAGATCCCACTAAGTCCCGAGAAGATGCGCTCGTCAGAAATATTACATGGGTTACCCTTTTCACAGACATCCCGGTCACAGAGAAAAGTCACACTCCTCTCATTAGCTCATAGACTGTCAGAGCTAGGATTCCCCTTTGAGGAGATCCAGTTGCACCTCCTATAACAGAGGAACTGATAGTCTGAGTAGAGGGGAGAGGAAGATACTGAACCCGCTCTAGAACACGCTTCCCTGTGCCCTAGTCCAGTACTCTTCCTACAGATTTATTCCTGCCCTTGGATCCACAGTAAGCAAACTCAACTGAGGCCAGTGAGTGTTCCTGCCGTTTGCTTCCCTCTGCCTATTTTGGCCCTGCATTCCCCTCATTTTCAACCCTGCCTGAGACAAGAGGCTTCCAAGCCCAGAAAAGAGAACAGTTTGGCGCTCAATGGTACCATTTCTGTGTTTCAAAAGAATCACTATAGATTAGAGGATGAAGTATTTATTGTATCACTGGTCATATGTGACTCCAGGTAAGTCACAAATATTAGAACTGACTGGCACAGTTGCTTTTAGTCACAGGGCCCGGCTACCTCAAGTGTGTGTGTTGGGGAGTGGGGTGGGGGGGGGCGCTGTGGTGGCTAATGTACGGTTGGGAGGGAACTTTCAGGTTGCAACCATATGGTTTTTTGTTTGTTGGTCTGAGCTTATAAACCCGTGGAGATAAAAAAAATAATAATTAGTAAAGTCTCGTGCCTAGCAGAGTTGCGCAGTGGAAGCGTGCTGGGCCCATAATTAGTAAAGTCTCTATAAAGAGTCAGCATTAAACAAATATAGTGCTACACAAAAATAAATGTTTACTGACCATTGGGCACTGAGGAGGAGACTAGTAATAAAAAAAATGAATAAACAGATAGAGTACTATAAAAAGGAGTCAGTGAGGGCTGCTTTGGAGTGAGTGTATAGGACGACTTCTCTGAGAAGGTGACATTTAAGCCACGAGCCCAGTGACAAGAAGGAACCAGCCATGTGGAATTTTCAGGCAGGGGAAGGGGCTAACACAAAGTTCCAAAGCAAGAATGGACTTTTCATGTTTGAGGAGATGCAACGATGCCGAGTGATGGGGGCCTGGCAGAGAAGGGGGAGACTGGTTGGACATGAGGCCACAAGGGGTCAGATCCCATAAGGTTTTGTAAGCTAACAGGAGTTTGACTTTATTGTATGTAGTATGAAAAGCCACTGGAGGGTTTTAAGCAGGGAAATAATATGATCTAGCTTTTATTTTTAAAATACCACCCTGGTACAATTCATGCATCAACTATTAGTTATCATTATTTTAATAATGTGGGTGATACTTAATAATTTTCAGACCACTTTCATATGTGGTACCTCAATAAAGCTCCATCCATTCTGTGCTCCCTTTTCTCTGTCCTTCCTTCTTGCCTCATTCCCTCCCTCACTCAAATCTCATTTGCTCTTCTTGATCTTATACAACATGCTGATCATTATTCCTAGCAGTGGTCCTCTTCGATGAATCAAAAAGACAAGATCCCTGAGCTCTTGGAGCTTATAAGCTAGAAGCACAGTGAGCAATGAAAAAGAAATAAACATATAAACAAGATAATTGCACTTTGTTATAATTGCTATGAAGACAGGCTGGTGAGAGAAACTATTTATACTTACTTTGCTGAAGAGAAACTAGGGTTCTATGAAGATATTAAGTGGCTTATCCAAGGTCCTACAAGTATTGGGAACTGGGACTCTCAGAGTTTTGCAGTTCTAAATTTCATTTTCATTTCTCTTCCTTGTGGTACTCTTTGGTGTCTGTCCTGTGTTCTGAGGCCAATATTTGCCTCAGTTGGTTCTAGAGATGGAAACAGGCATGTTTAGGAATGGGAGAGAAGAAAAGTCCTAGGCTAGAAAAAGATGGTCTTTGGGTGACCAGACAGGCTGGATTTCCAGAGATGGACAAACCTGGGTTCCATGTCAACTCTGTATGCCTTTGCTGGCCATGTGTAGGTTAAAAATGCAAGTCCTCATGGCTTTATTCTCCTCAAATGAGAGTTGTTGTGGGTAACTTCCTTTCAAAGCATGGCACAAGAGACCTCAGTTATAGGTGGTGGCTGCAGAGCTCACTCAGGTCCATGCAAAGCTAAAACAAGTCCCACTGATTCAGCACAAAGGCTCCAGTAAGCTGGGCAGCTGTATTTCTGGAAACACCAAATTGTAGTAAAGAAGCTGAACATAAAAGCACATAAGGTAGCAGGCTTTCTTTTTATCTTTCTTTGCACTAATAAATTCTGCACCTTATAAGTAGAGCACTTGACAGCTGGGAGAGAGTGTCCTAAGTCTCCCCCAGAAAGAATGTAGGAGGCTAGGCCAGGGCACCGGCCAAACAGACTTTGCCAGCAGGCCCTTGGAATGGGTAATGGAGGCAGACCTGGGAGTTGTACTGGCACCACCTCAGAGGGTTGTGCAGTTCATAACCAGACGTTGCCAATAAAAACCTGTGGATTTTACATGGTGATGAAATCTTCAAGAGAGTTTGTTAAGAGCTTAGGGGATTGGTGAGTTGTGCTTTGATTGTCTCCCAGAAAAATCAGTAATTTCTATTTCAGTTTCTTCAAACTCAGCTCAGTATTTAAGGAACGGATCTTATTAGCAAATACTGTTTTGTTTTTGTTTTTGTCACTTCTCTTCAATAAACTTAGAAAAAGTGAGGATAATGGCCTAATGGCTCCCCAGTGCTTATCCCATAGGATCCCTTCACCTGCCCAGTCGACTTTGATCCCAGCTTGTGGGATTCTAGCAGTCCTGGCAAAGTCATTCCAATAGCACCCTTTTAGTCTAAGGTAAGAGGGAAGATGAGGGTGGCCCTTTAAAAAAGAAACTTGTCTTCAGAAAAGATCATTTCCAACTACATCCCAGGTTCTTTATGGTTGTTCTTCTAGAAAAGTGCCAACACTCCTACTGTTGGAGATTTTCCCTCTCCTGGGAAGAGGAGAACATTTAGTTCAGCAGTGCTTCATCATCGACTCCCACCCCTTGCCCCTGACCCTCCTGCCACTGGGAAAGAGGGAACGTGTGAGTCTCCACAGCCAGTCAGCCAGTCAGGGGCTCCCTCGGGAGTGAGTGATGTTTGTGCAAAAGAGATCTGCACATTTGGTGGACATAGTCCAGACCCCACCAGCCGTGGGCATTTCTCCTAAGAGAGGGTTTTGGAATTTAGCTTGCTGCTTTTTTTAAAAGCTTGATTTACAGTGCTTCCAGGGAAAGGAATGGTGAATTACTAGTCAACATCTTTTTAACTCCCACGCCAGCCAAGCAAATATAATTCAATTCAAAAGACACTGACACTTCAAATGTGTCTGGCTCTGTGCTAGGTATTCTGGGGACACACAGATAAATAAGCTGTGGTTCCCTCATCTGCAGAGCTCACAGTCTAGCGTGTGTTTCTGTTCGGGGAATCACAGTTTAGTTCTCTATTTAGAATAAAACAGAAGGCTAGTTCACACTGGACTGCATTTTCTATACTGGGTATCGTGGTGGCAAAATTTATATTTGCTGTCACCTTCGTTTTTGCCAACGGTCACTGCTGAATAATAATAAACATTCAGTTCAGCCGAATGCACATTTATTGAGCACTTACTATGTACATTGTTGTGGAATATTGTCAGTGGTCATGGACTGCTGTACTACCCGATAGTTTATGGTGAGATCAAAACAATGGCTGTGGTTACCACAGCAACGTGCTCTCAGCCAAGCCATCACTGTTCAGATGTCATGTGGCTACTGGAAGGAAACTGAATCTTAATGGTGCCTGCCTAACTCTGCTGGTTAGCCTGTCCCAGGAATGAGATCCCAAGTGCTTAGAAATGTTAGACATCACTCTTATGCACCACACAGCTGCGATGCAGACGCAGGATCAGCTTAAATCTGTCCCTTTCTTGAGGAAGAATGTCCAGTTACAAACCCTTGTTCCATTGATGTTTGGTTAATGCACAATTTCTTCTTGTAAGAACAATACCACTTATGCAGGAGGCCTCATGGGGAGCAGCAGGAGCCTGGGACTAGGACAAGATTCAGGGCTGCTATTCCTGACTCTGCCATTAATATGTGTCTTTGATACAAGATATGCATTTTTGCTACCCTTTTTCTCATCACTTAAATGTCAATAAAAACATCTTTTCTATCTGCCTCCAAAAGATACTGTTACAATCCTTGAGAAAATTAGGGAGGACAATAGGATTCCAATTTCATATATACTCATACACAGAGAAAATTACTGGAATCTCTTCATACATCTAAATGATAAAGGTGGTTTTCTTTGGGCAGTGGAATTACAGTTTTAATTTTCTTCTTTGTGGATTTTTTTTTTTTGTA